AGAGAGAGAGAGAGAGAGAGAGAGAGAGAGAGAGAGAGAGAGAGAGAGATGGATCCCATGACCATGTAGTAGAGTACCTGAAAGCATGTGTTGTGTCTAACAGTGAAGACCAGATTTGTGAAACCATGAGCCCCAAAATCCAAGACAGACAAGGGAGCTCTATCTTGGACAGTCTTTATGCTCCAACTACTCACAAAATCAAAACAAGACCTCACAAGAAGGGCCAGTGCGGCTTCGCCCGCATGACATTGCAGGTCACTTTCCTGGATGGCATCACTCTAACACACGCGGAGGGTGAATCCAGTTTTCAAGGAATGACGTACATAGCAAAGACAATTAAAGCACGTAAACACTGGGGTACAGTGTTACCGGACCGACGATTCGGGGGGGTCAACCTCTCATAAAGTATGTGCCTAACAAATTTCATGTCATTCTGACAAACAAACAAAAAGAAAAGTCAAAATCACAGAAGAAATGGGGGTGAAACCTATTGAGTAACCCGCCATTTTTTTCAAATTTTCTTTCATTTCCTGCCCCTTTTTTTTTTGTCTTGCTTATAAATCAATCAATCAATCAATCAATCAATCAATCAATCAACCAATCACTCAATCAATGGTACTTAAGCTGGGTGGAAACAGATGGGGTAGGCGGTGCTATGTCAGCTAGGAGGTCCCTTGGTTATGCCTTAAAAGTCGAAAACCCCATTCACTTGATTGCTAATGTGGCCCAAAAATTGAGGAACGCAGGGGAGTGGGGGAGAGGCCCAGGATGGGGCATCAAACAAATGATTCGCCAACTGGCCTATACCAGTCAGTACCCAGTTCTTGGAGAACGAAAAAGGTGAATGAACAGCAACTGGTTCATGAGAACAAAGGAAAGGATAAGAGAGTGCAGATCAAGTAAGGACAGCGTATATGTAAGTCACGAATTGAGTGTGCAGTGGAAAAGCGAGGAGAACTGTGGAAAACAGTTGACATGCAGATGTGATCAGTCGTATCAATCCTCTATAACTGGGCGCAGTAGCCTTTTCAAATTGACTTGTGTGAGGGTTCATTTGAATAGTGAGTGGAGATGGGCGCAGTAACCTTTTCAAATTGATTGTGGAAGGGTTCATTTGAATAGTGAGTGGAGATGTTTGTTTGCCCGTGATACATCTGCATCTTGCAGGCCTCTTCTGGGAAATGCGCTGCTGTAGACTTCACCAGCAGGCCTCTTGATGAACCTGGGCGTCGATGTTGATCACACGTTCAACAATGGTCCATATCGTCTCTCAATGGGCAATTCGCAAAATGTCATCAAATATGTCACTTATGTCTAGTACTGAATCATAAGCAAAGCCAGTGGTTTGTACCATGGGATAAGTAGAAGGTTATGTCTAGTAGTGCATCATTAGCAAAGTCAGTGGTTTGTACGATGGGATAGGTCAAAGATTCATAGGTAAAACGTTGTTCTCCCGCTGCAGTTGGTCATTCACTTTCTGGAAATCAAAGATAAGAGTGAGGAATACATGCTGGTCTGGAATATGATGTGGAACTCGAACTGATTGCATGGCTATAACTACCATCTCGTTCTCCAACCCGGGAGTCTCACTACGCAAGATTAGGAATTTTGTTTCAGCTATCCTATAGATCACACTTCCGCAGCTATGTCATAAAGGAGAACCTGGTTGGATAGTTATGTGAGAATTATTTGCCCAGCCGCTGCTACATGTCCTCCTGCCTTCATACTAAGTTTATAGTCATTTTCCAGCTTCAAAGCGTTCACTCCTTTCCGAGTGCACGACTGGCAATGGAGTGTGTGCGCACAGAGAGAGAGAGAGAGAGAGAGAGAGAGAGAGAGAGAGAGAGAGAGAGAGAGAAAATCTCCTGCATGGGTTGTTGTGTGGGGCATCAGTGGGAGATTAGCTCTTATATTTTCATGGGCATGGGAAAGGGGGCGCACAACTTGCCTGTGGCATCTCTCTCTCTCTCTCTCTCTCTCTCTCTCTCTCTCTCTCTCTCTCTCCTCCCCCCCCTCCCCTCCCTTTCAGGGCATCTTCAGATCTAGCACCAAAAATTAAGACAACGGTTACAAGGTTCTATTCATGCCTACGGAAGACTGGGACCAAGACCCAGTCAAGATCCAGGATCGACTTAATCTTGGTCTCGAAAGATCTGGGAGGGTCTCTGCTTCTAGTAGCAATTTTACCAGCTAGCCCCTACCCGGGCCTTGATCACAAAATGTGCGCGGTCATTTTGTCCTTCAGCAAGAAACCCGATCACGAACCTGGCTTTTATAAACTCAATGCGTCCATCTTGCAGCAGCAAACCTTTCGAGTTATATTACGGACTTCTGGACGTTTTGGCGACACGCAAAGGCAGCACATTCAGCAGGAAACAGACTGGTTTAATAACGGTCTGTTCTATATGGATAGAAAATGCCAAGAATATTCCAAACTTTTAGCAGCTAGGAAGCATCAGCAGGAGATGGAAATTCACCAACAACTGCAGCAACTTGAGGACCAGGATCAGTCTAACAGCTCACACAGTGTCCAGCACACACAGCCAGACGAGTATTCAGCAATACAGGTGCTGCAACAGCGACTCCGACCTTCGCCACACAACGTTGGCAGGACACACCTACAAGAGGACGACTAACACGGCATCAAACGGAAGGAACAATGGATAAAAAATCATTGTACACTCGCGCAGAACAACCATACAAGCGCCATATGATCCACAGACTGGACACCAGGATATTGTCATCTCCTCCCCCCATTGCACGCAGATAGCAAGGTCCTTCTTCAAGCACCTGTCTACTTCAAGGTGCGCCCAGGCGGGAGAGGGACGTTAGAGAGGGAGAAATTGAGAACTTCCTGAAACCACTGAAGAAGGCTCTGATGGTCCAGCAGAAAACATATCTGGATCGTCCCCTGTCCAAGAAGGAAATCTGGACGGCGATGATGCAGATGGATGAAGAGAAGACGACGGGCATAGATGGGCTCCCTAAGGAGTTATTGGCGACCTTCTGGACCCAGATCGCCCCGGACCTCATGGAGTTCTATCGTCATGTGTGGGAAACAGGGAGGATGAGGGAATTGGTGGGGCAGTGCATTCTCACCTTGTTGCACAAAAAGGGGGATACGATGGATATCAGGAACTACCGGCTGATAACTTTGCTTACATTTGTTTATAAAATGCTAGCGAAAGCCCTGGCGAACCATCTGATCCCCGTCTTGGACGATATTATCCATCCATCACAGACCGGGCTTGTCAAAGGGCGCAGGTTCCAGGACAACAGCCTACTAGTTAACGAACTTCTCAAACTAACAAAGCAAGACGAGCAGAATGCGGCCATGATCTTCATTGACTTCGAAAAAGCTTATGACCACGTGGACTGGCTATTTCTGGACAGATGTATGGAAAAATTGACCATCGGGCCTGTTTGCTGGACCGCAATACTGCATCATAATGCCACCACGAGTGTCCAAGTTAATGGAAGTATAGCGCCGGCCTTCCCGCTGCCACGGTCATTCCGCCAGGGGGACCCTCTGGCACCTTTCCTGTTTATAAATGTGAGGCATTGGCAGCGAACCTCCGTGCCAACAAGGACCTGAGGAAGTTGCAGATCTTGTCCATCCCTGAAGATGTGATTCCCGTCTGTTCGATGTTCGGGGCCGACCTGACACTCCTAGTGGATGCCACCGCAGCAAACATGGAAGAGATCAGGCGACTATTCGACCGGTTCAGAGCGGTCTCAGACACGACCGTTAACTGGGGAAACAAAACCTTGGGGTGGTGGATCCACCATCAAGGGGCGCGGTCCCCGGAGTTGCCACGGGTCATGTGGCTCCCGGAAGCGGCCCCGGTCAGGGTATTGGGAGTTATGTTGACAGAACTAGGTAAGCCTGCATCAAATGATGAGTGGATCATTAAGCCCACTTTAGAGAAATTGGCTCACTGGAAAGATCAACACACCTCCCGAATCGGTAGGGCACTGGCGATCAACAGCACAATGCTGGCGGCCCTTCGGTATAAATCTGCAATTTGGGTCGTCACTAAGGAGGCCGTCCGAACGCTAAAGCGGCAGTTAGCGGCCCTGCTCTGGAGAGGCAATGGTGAGCTCCCAAACCTTATTAGCAGGGTGGCCTGGTCACCGGTGATCCAACCCAACGACAAAGGGAGCCTGGGGATTCTAGACCCGGATACCCAGATCACATCATTAATGGTCAATGGGTTAGGAGACTGCTCTTCACTCAGCAACTCCCATGGTATGCCCTTACACTGGAACAAATAGCTAGACTGCCCCACAAGCACCACAGGGTGTTAACCCATTGACCTGGCTGGAAGACCGTTTCTGGGCTGTACCATGGCGCCGTCGAGCTAGTTGAGGCTCAAACCGAGACACAATCTGCAAGGACTTGGCCAAGGACGACTTCTGGGCCCGGGTCCCGAGGGTCTGGCGCCACCTCCCGCTGCCTGACAAAATCCCACCGACTTGGTGGGAGGAAGTGATGCATCACCCCTTTTCGGGATCAGGAGGATTACAGACCGGTGCAGCAGGGTGTATTGCAGCTCAGACAACCCATGGAGGAGTTGGGTCAAAAAACGCATAATCAGAATAAAGGACATATGGGACACAGGGAATGGGGACTGGAAATCAGTACCCCAACTGAGGGCCATAATAAAGC